TTCCTTCATCCTGAACCTTTTTGCTGCTCAACAAATAACTTTGAGCCTCAGTCAGAAAAACCTGGAGGGTTTTTATATTTTTGGCCCGAGAGGAGGAGGAAACAAACGGTGGATTTGCTTCATGCATGGGGTGGGAGACGTGAATTTCACTTACCACAGCCCGACTAGCCCAACTTGGACCGGAGCGTTTAGAATTGGGAACCGCTACAAAGAAACAAAAATCCGGAAAGGCAGAAATAAGTGGTTAAGTTGTGTATATATAAAAATAAATAAATCTACATCTAATTAACACAGTGTGTGCTTACCTTCATGAAAGCTCTTTTCTCCAGAGCATTCATTATAACAGGAGGAATGGCTGTGAAACAGAAAACACCGTCAGGAAATGTCTTATGTTTCACAAACAGCAAGTCAAAGGAAATATCACACTTGAACACGACAAATTCCTTTATCTCTCACGCCTGAACCACAGCTAGATGCTGGTTTTTCATACGTTTAAAGGCTGTCATTTTGTAAGCAGACTAATTACCTCCAAATGTTCACAAGAGGCTATAAAATAATAGGTGGAGGAAAATGCTCAGCAGCTTTGGTCCAGTGGTAAAACTCTGGCAAAACAGTCATGTTGACACTTCAAGGCAACTGTGTTAGACAGTTGCTCATGTTGGTAACAGGTTGAAATATCTCAATCCCTCAGATTTTAGTGTCCATTTAAGACAGTAATGTGATATTAAATAAGGAATTAAATGCAGTAGTTTGACTAAAATGGAAACAAACAAAACTGATGAGGCTTTAAGTTTATACACTGCTATGACAAAAATATTGACTGTAGCTACTCTAAATCAGGGGTTCTTAACTTTTTTGACCTCGTGGCCCAATCTGTTGAACATAAAGGGGCAGTCAGACTTTACCAATGTTCGGATCAAAATGATAATTATTCTAAATCTTGGTTTAATTTGTATTGTTTTTACATTATAACTAAATAATGAAGTTTTACAGTTTAAAAGTAAAACTCCTGACAAATAATCACAAGACATGATTATGACCAAACATTTTTTATATTGTAACCTGCCCATAACAATTATTTGAACAAATACAATTGTCAACACAAAAATATATTTTTTACATAAACAATAACAAAAATAAACAATTCAATAAATAAAACTGTGGTCATAAAATAAATACATTCAAAATGTTCAATTAATGTTCAAATGTTCAAAGGTTTCAAATAATAAAAAAACCTGTAAAAATTAATTTGATAAAGTGCAAATGAAAATATAGCCTTTTGCATGGTAGAACCAGAAGCTGCACTTCATATTAGTGACAAACTTGGGCATTTTTTGATGGGTTGCCTTCATTTTTGCCTTCTACTTTTCATTTAAAATAGGTTTCCATTCTTAGCTGGTTTCTAAGTTTCTTCTTCTATGTATTTAAAAAGTTGTTAAAAATTAGAGTGGCGCACTACAGCTACTACTGGTAAGAAAGTGTATTGCACCTTATTCAAAATCTGTGCGGTCGCGGCCCTCTGCGGCCCAAAGTTAAAAATAGTTGTTCTTTTGAGGCCCTCAAGGTAGCGCTCACGGTCCACAATTGGGCCGTGGCCCATGTGTTAAGAATCTCTGCTCTAAATCAGTGTTTCCCAAAGTTGGGGTCGGGACCCAAAGTGGGGTCCTGAAAAAAAATTCTGAATTAATTACATTTTTGCCTTAGTTGTTACAAATGAGTGAGGTTAGTGTATTTAAAATGGATAAATGTAGTATAAAAATATTGTTACTATGCCCATGTTTAGCTGACCAGATACAAATGTTTATCATCCAAAAATAGTTGGGGGCACAGG